TTAATTTAAATAATTATTTTACAGATGCTTCAAAAATATATGTAAAAATTAATGTTTCAAAGCAACTTACAAGGAGAGTCATCCAGAATGAAGTCGGGGTCACTCTCCTGTCCTCATCCTTAGCTTCTAGACTCTTGGTCATCTAAAGTGTACAATAATCGACAACGCAGTTAATAATTCAAAATAAGAAAGCACCCATAAATCATCAGAACAAAAATTCTCCTTCCTACTGCAGACTGCTAACACACTACAAAAAAAAAGCTTAGTACAAAACGCACATAATGCTGAACTGCAGCAACAGCAAGCCAACAATACATTAATTCAGGCATTACTTATAATAAAGTATCTCAGTGCTTGGACAGGAATCCATTTCACAGCAATGACATCTCCTAAAAATAAATTAGGAACAGCACACCTCTCATATTAATGAAAACTCACTGATGTTAAAAATGAGACAAATAATTTCCATTCTTGGAGCATAGTGAATTACGATCTGAACTTAAGTGTTTTTGTTTTTCCAAGTAGGAATTCAATCAAATTGTTCCCCACCTTCAGAAAACCATGAAGGTGCAAACATCTTCAGAAATGGTTAAGAACATGGCATGGGGAACAGTAAGGCTAACCAAACCCTCAGCTCTGCTCAAAACCTTGGTATTTGAGCAGCGCACAGCATCAATCCCGTCCAACACAAGAGATAGCAAGCACTGCAGATGCTGGAGTCAGAGACAACACAGTGTGGAGCTGGAGAAGCACAGCAGGCCAGGCAGCATCAGAGGAGCAGGAAAAGATTCCCGAAGAAGGGTCCCGACCCAAAACATCAACTTTCCTGCTCTTCTGATGCTGCGTGGCCTGCTGTGCTTTTCCAGCTCTGTCCTGTGTTATCCCATCCGACAGGAATTGTTTTGCAGTTGAACAACAAAGTCTGATCAACTACTGATAAATCCTTTCTCACTGTATCTGTACGACTAAATAAAAACCAAAATCCTTGCCCAAGCAAGGCTGCAATCTGTTCAGCATTACGCTTCTATATTTCTGAAGCTGTCATATTCCTTCTGAGCAAGATGATGTCACAACGTCCATTCTAAAGTGGTATGTCATCAAGGCTTTGGAAAGCAAAAGGGGATCAAGATCTTTGATTGAGAAGGGTGTTCCTTCAAAACACACCATGCCACTCCGTGCCAGTGGACATATCATTCACAATATTTTTAAAGTTAATTGCAAATTTGATACCCCTTTCGATTTATTTCTGGATGAAGTGCAGTATCCAATAAAAAGTCCAATCTTCAGAAAGTAACGAAATATGGTGGTATTTCTGTGAAGATGATTTAGGACTAAATGCATCATACTCCTTCCCCCAAGGTTGGCATAAAAATAACACTTGTCATTTATTAATACAAACTCAGTGTGAGATTGCAAACGTCAAAGTCAGGGTGCTCTGTCTGCACTGAGGTGCTTCTGTATGGGAGGACTGCATCATCAAGTCCAATACAACAAATGTCAAGTCAGAGCAATAGAAAAACTGCACAGAACTCGTAGGTGGAGGGGACAAGCCCTTTGAAGGTTGCTTCTTTATTCCTTTATCGACAATCACAGCCACTCCACTCAGAAGAGGATTAAAAAGCCAACCCTGATTGACATCAATTAACTCCACTCCCACCAGGGTCCGGAGGCAATCTCCGGAGGCATTCAAACTCCAGTGCTCTTAAAAGTGGGAACACAGCAGCAATTGGAGCCAGTCTGTTTATGACCACTCTCCGACTCCTTTCCCCTTCAAATTACAGTTCAGCTGTTAGCATGGCACTGGAACCTACATGATGAAATTGTGGCATAACATGCCAATCTCAAAGTGCTTTCATAAAGCTCCATCTACTTGATGGAAGTGTTAAAACTGAACGAAGGAAATATTCATTTGAGTCCATCTCTATACATATCCCAGTAGCCTGCCGACAGGAATCCTTCAAAGGCCTTCTTGGAGTTTGAGAAGATTACCAGGGCACAGAAAGAAAAGCGTTGAACATTCCTTCGCTAAATGGAACCTTGCTCAACAAATACAAATTGAATTAGGACTACTCGGACGTCAAAGCCCAAGAGTTTTGTGGTGATGATAGCATTGTTCTCTCAGGAGATGTGCTTAAAGGTGACCGGGTTTTTCCACAGTTGAGTTAATTTTTAAAGATCACATCGTACACATTGAGGCACATACACAAACTACTTTCCACATTCCAGATTCTTCAACTCTCATTTGCGCTTCGGACATTTGTGCACATGGTCTGAGCAAGTCTGAAAATAATGGATATCTGCTGATGTATCATCTGTCTGACAGAGGTAATGAAGTTCCCTTTGACGCTAATTAAAAGCTTTTCTTGCGAGGAAATAGTGCTGCCAACATAGGGAGACAGGTAGACCAGGAATGAGCAGGCTGAGTTTCTCAGATGTGGATTAAAAGCCTCCAGGTGACCACTGGCATCATTCATTACAAAGAAGAAAAAAAAAAGATATGTTTGCAAAGGACATCAGCTTCGTTCTCGCACGTTTTCACAGTTCATGCAAGAATGGTAGTGTAGGCCCTGATTAACTTAGGCATTACTTTTACATAGTAGTGCTGGTTTGAACAGAAGAGTCTCTGTGATGGCTCCCTACTGTTGCATCCAATGGCTACTTTAGGATAACGACATTTGTTAATAATAAAAATATTAAAAAACAAAAAAAGAAACAACAGAGATCACAAGCCTTAACTGATTACACACCTTTCCCTTTTGTTCAAGTCCTCATCACGGCTTTGAAGACCAAAAGCAATGGTCCACAAGGTCATTCTGCCCACTAATTGGGGCGTTGCTTAGCTTTGCAGATTTGCAGTAAATCAGAATCTACCATTCAGAAAGAACTTGTACATTTTATTTAACAAGAGCTGAATGTTTTAGATGCACCAATGTGTGTCCAATGCAATCATACACCGTTCACGTAAGGGACATTGTATCCTTATGTCAGCCACGTTTGGGTTTGGGTTTTTAGCTGGAATAGCCTGCTTTTTATGCTTCACTATGACACTGTCTTGTTGATTTCTAATAGGTGTTGTAAATGTACCTTCTGTCATGCAACTTCTCAAAGTGCTATTCTCAAACAATGTAGATTTCTATAAAAACAGGTATAAAACTAATGGGGCGGATTCTCCTGATCTTTGCTCTGGTACAAACAGACCACTTGCAGTTTTTTTTCTGTTTGGGGGCAGGGGGTGGTTGGTGTTGTTGGTTGGGCACAAGGGATCAGTGGTGACAATGATTAATTTATATTAGTTACAACGTGACAATAAATATAGGGAAGGCAAGTAAGTTATGGTAAAGGATAGAAAGAGTTTGCAATGGGATCTCGATAGATGGAGTGAGTAGGCGAACATCTGGTAGATGAAGTATAATGTAGTAAAACATGAAGTTCTGCACATTTGATCAAAAGAACGGATAAACACAATATTACTTAAATGGACTTAGATTATACAGCCTTGCAGTGGAGAGGGATCTTAATGTCCTCATACATGAATCATATATGGTCAAAATGCAGATTCAGCAAATAATTAGGAAAGCAAATGGAACATTGGTCTTTATTGCAATAGGAATGAAGTAGAGATGTCTTGCTGCAATCAAACAGGGCTTTTGAGGGGCTAGGTCTTTGGAGGCTCAGGGAAAGTTCCTGGAGATTGTCTCCCGGGGTGACTGTTGTTTTATTGGGAAAGGTCAAGCAGATTAGGCCTATATTCAAAGTTCAGAAGAATGAGAAGTAATCATACTGGAACTAGTAGGAACTATAACTATAGGTGAACTTGACACAGTAGATTCTGAAGAGTTATTTCTCCGCGTGTGAAAACCAAGAACTGGAAACGCACAGTTTTAGAATATGGGATTTCCATTGAAAGTGGAACTGACAGTCTTGCACAGGGTAATTAAAAACTTCGGAATTCTCTATCCCTGACTGCCTTGAATATATTCAGTGACACAGCCAGCATAGCAGAGTGACAGATTTTTGATCTACAAGGGAGTTAAGGGTTATGTGAGGGTGCGGTAAACAGTGTAGTGAGGACACAATCAGAGCAGCCATGGTTTCATTGAATGGTGTAACAGGCATAACAGGAGCTGAATTGCCTACTCCTGCTACTACATTTTATGCTCTTAGGTTTTCCTAGTTCCCGTCTCAGGTGAAAAGGGCCAAGAGACATTTTACATTGGCCCTGAATTTTATGGGACCATGCCACGAGGAAGAAGAGGGTACAAAAAGACCCAGCGTCAAGTTATGGCCAGAGAGTGGGTCTTCTGTCTCTACGTAATCTGACAACATCAATGGAAGGCAGAACACCTCAGGATGAAGTTGAGAGGTTTGCACCAGTACACTCCTTCTGTCTGAAAAATCAGGCAATAAAGATTTTAAAAAACCCTGAAAACCGGGCAAGTGGGATAGTTTAACAACTTTTTCATTTGGGCCTCAGACTTCCAGGCTGTATTGTTTGTAAACCAACAATGCATCCCCATCCAAAACAAGACCTAAGCACCCAACAGGACTTTTGTTTTTGTTTTTGCAGAACTTTATGACATTTTGGCTTGATGCAAAACTCCTGAAGCCACCACACCCCAAGTGCCCATTGTAATGGTTAACCGTTGCTTCTGAATCACAGCTACTGATAATAATCTCATCCCTTTGTAGGCCTACTAGATGGCTAGTGGCATGCATAAACAGACGTCACATTCAGTCAGCACCACAGCCAAGAATGGAAGCTTTAGGAGCTCTGTCGTTGGCCAAAGCAGGTTCCTATAAATACACAGGGGTCAGACATCTGAGCAGCCATGGCTATTGTAAATGAATAAATTCCTTAGCAGGCTGCTTCTAACTGCACCCACTGAACCAGGAGAAGCAGAAAAACATGAATCTTCACTAAGAGATAGTGACTGTGTGCTCCGGGGGATGGACCTCGTTGTAAATCAATACTTCAAAAAGATCGCTCACGGTCAACTCACCTTCTTCTTCTTCCTGAGAAGCACTTTGACTCCATCCACTGACACCATTATACTCACTTTCTTTTTCTTGATATTCTTGGCTTTGAATTCATACTGAAATAAAAAGAAATGGAGGAACTCTGTTACATTTATATTAATTAGTGATGTTATCTTTAACCATCGGGAAAACTATGGAGACAACTGCTTTCATCATTTCCCCTGAAAGTTTAAACAAACCTATGGTTCCCTTCCCCAACCCATCCCAATATTCCACTTTCAAATGATAAATAGCAGTGGCAGAATACGTGCCGATATCTTGTGCTGCAGGTGTTGGCAGGTCACAAGCTTTTACCTGTGGCGTTTTGATGTGGCAATGCCACTGGATGAAGCTATTTTCCCATGGATGGACGGACGGACTTACACTGGGTCATAATCCCTCGCTCACAGCGGCCCTTTCACAAACAATGCTGCCATTTCCCAAAGGGACATTTCACCGAGTGTGCCTAGACAAGACCGTTCACCACCACCTACGGGCTCAGGGCCAGGCAACAAACCAGCCAGTAACGTTCACGTCGAGAAAGATTAGTTTTGAAATGTACAACTTGATATAAAAAGGTTAAGACAAGAATTGCAGTTGGATGCAGAGCATGAGTTTACTCTTTCCTTGTGAAAGACAAATGGCTATGACCTTTCTAACTGCCACATATGACAGTGCAGTGAATCATGTTACAAGATAGCATTATACATACGGAATGGATTTGCGCTATTGTGCTAGCTTCGTCAGGAGGCCTGTACAGCTTCTGCAGCACTACAGAAAAGTAATTAACAATGGAAACAACTCTAATGCCTGTGAGAGTTAATCCAGTGAATAACCTGACCCATACAGTAAATGTATCGGTTCTATCCCAATTTTTGCTACAACCAGGAGTCCACCGTTGGACTCATTGTCATTGAATTATCAAGGAGTTGATCAAACTCCCATTTCTGTTCTCTACAACATTAACCCTTGCATGACACGAATACAAAACAATCCAAAAACTGGGGGGGGGGGGGAAGCAGTGAGCATAAATAAATAAATAGTATGAGGGGATCAGCCAACACAGATAAGGCAGAATGTCCCTGTTGCTACTGCCGTCGAAACCAATGTGCATGCACGAAACAACATTTATTTTTAATCTACGAGTTGAAGTGCTCCAGGGAAGGAGCAAGGGAAAACAGACACTAGAGAGATTAGGAAGTGTGTCCATTCCATCAATCAAGCCTTTGGACTATCGGGAGATATTTCAAAGAAAATAGCAGGGAAAGAGAATTTTGACAAACAATAGCTGAGAATGGGACACACACACACACACACACACACACACACACACACACGAGAATATACTGAACATTAGACCTATGAAGAAGTAACAGGTGAAGAGATCGACAAGAGATCAGAAGCAGCAGAAATATTCTGGGAGGATTGATGAGGAGGTCAGGAGGAAGATACAACATTACATCGTGAAGTGATAAGATGATTGTGGGCAAAGAAGGCAGAAATAAAGAAAAGGGAAAAAGTGAGGTGAATGCCACATTCAGTGTGCATATTGTAGATTAAAGCACAGCCATTTAATGGTGTCACATGAATAGCAAGAGTCTTCTGAAGGGGTCAGGTTTTTCTTTTAACAGAAACTACTGCGCTGACAATTTACTCTGATTATTTATTCCAAAGGTTCTAAAACTTTGCGCTGTCATTATTATATCTAATTTCTTTTTTTTATTTGTTCATGGGATGCGAGCATCGCTGGCTGGACCAGCATTTATTGCTCTTCCTTAATCACCCTGGACAAGGTGGTACTGAGCTGCCTTTTTGAACTGCTGTGGTCCATATGGCTTAGGGTACCACAGTACTATTAGGGAGGGACCTCATTACGTCCCTGTCAACGAGTCAAAATCCTTGGTGATATAATTCCAAGTCAGGATGGTGTAAAACTAGGAAGGGAATGTGCAGGTCGTGTCCCCATGCTTCTGTAGCCCTGGTTTTCTCAGAGAGATCACAGGTTCGAACGGTGTTGTCACAGGAGCCTTGGTGAGTTGCTGGAGTGCATTTTGTAGATAGTAGACACTGCTGCAACTGTGCATTACAGGTGAAGGGAGTGAATATTTGAGATGGCAGATGGGGTGCCATGTGTCATCACCAATGTGGGCTGCATTGTTCAGAATAGTGTTGGTACTGAACCCGGGCAGATGCATTTTCCACCAACTTCGATATGTACCTCAGATAGCCAGAAATCGGAGGAGACGGCACCGGGGTAGTGGGGGTCTGACTGTTACATGTCATAGTTTTCCCAGCTTCACATAGCTATTGTATTTAAGTGAATAATCCAGTTCAGTTTCTCATTATTGGTAATGTCTAGGGGCTTAATGGGGAGGTATGACGATTAGAATCTCTTTTGTTGAGGACGGAAATTGCCTGACATTCATGTGGTGTAAATGTCACTTGCCATTCATCATCCCCAACACAAATGTTATCTGGGTCTTGTTGCATGTGAGCACCAACCTCTGCAGTGTTGGAGTGTTGCGAAAGGCCCAGAATTCTGTGCAATTGTCAGCGATAGTCTGTTGATCTTTAAATCTGTCCTGCACCAATACTAATTTTCAGGAGAAAGAAAGAATCACCAAGGTTTCTGGCAGACACGTTCAATGACCATAATCTTATACTGAACTGTGTTACCGTGGTTTACTTCAAGAAAAACAAATGCAGTCAGTCAATCCTGCTTCAACTTTGGAGCCTCCGTTGAATACTTAACTAACGAATTGTGAGAGACAACAATCTGCCGCTCCCTCCACCAGCAGGTCCCACTGGATAAAGTGTATTGCACAGCTCAAAGCTCATTGTTCATTTATACAGGGGTTAGCGCCAAACACAACTGGACTTCCAATTGTTTTGGAAGAGGGATGCACTTGGGTAAAGAAAAATCAGGTTCAAAGGCACCTTTTGCATTAAAGAAAGTAACACAAGATCTTAAACTGAGGTTTTCTTTGCCCTGTCAGGAGGATGCAATAGACCCACCTGTACTGTTTTGAAGGAGAGTAGGAATGTTCTTCCCAGGGTCTTGGCTAATAGTTATCCTTCAACTAACATCACCTAAAAGCAAACTACCTGACCATTATCACACATTATGGGAACTTGGGTGTGAGCAAAATAGCTCTTTATGGCAGTGAGTATTCTGTTAAAGTATTAACTTTTCCATGAAGTATTTTGCAACGTCCTTAAATCTTGGAAGGTGATACATCGACACAAGCCTTTCTTCATTTTAGCATGTACGTTATGTGAAGTAAACAGTATTTTCCTTTTCCCCAGTATCTCCATAGGGATCCAAAGAATGCATCCACTTGCTCATGCATTAATAGCTTGCTGAGTTTCCCCAGCATCTTTAGCAGCAAGATCTGATTTCTGGCAGTTCACTGGGAAGGAATCAGTGTTAACCTGACCACTGATGGTCCAGTGGAGAGTAGGGGCATAGATAACCGATGAAGCAGTCTAATAAGTCTGGGTATAAGACTACCTGAACTGTAATAGGAAACAATATGCATCTCAGTGGAGGAACAGGAATAACCAGACACTGATTTGACTACAGAAATCGGCTGGGGCAGGTAATATGGACCTTGGCAATTATCCAATGGGAAGAGGTACGAATCTCTCAACCTGAATCTCCTGATGAGTAGAACCTAAAAGATGTCTTGGAAAGATCATTCACATCACCTTAACACAGTTCAAAAAAACTCTTCCCGTTCCAACTTTTCTACACATTAGTGTCCATAAGGTTATAGAAGGAATGTATTAACCTTGCTGATTTTTTTCCAAGAACAACAACAGGAACTCGCGAACTCAGTGACACACTATAGCGACAAGGAGTATCTGTGCTGCACCTGAGATAAACACACAGATAAATGAAGCAATCAGAACTTTTCATTTGCATCACACCAACACAGACTGTGAATAAACTAGGCCCCTCAAGGAGCACAAAAACACAGGAGCTAAGCAGTGCAGTTTCACTTCACGTTGGGTCCAAATAACATTCATTTGTTGTGTAGAAACACCATTCTCCGGCCCATTTCATTGTGGAGACTTTGACCCGGTTCGTAACAAACCTACACGATTCTCACAGAATCTGTGTGTATTTTGGCAGACAGAACCATCATTTGTACACAGATGGCTGCGTGGCTTGTCAGTACAGTTTAAAAAAAATGCAGGCAGCATCATTTGGCTTCAATTGAGATGTAGAAGGAAATTCTGAGAACTGGCCAAGATGTGATACACCTTTAGAGTTCACAGTTAGAACTCTGGACAACAGCAAAAAAAGACACTTACAAATGCTGCTGTTCCAAGATGATTGCAGAATAACCTTCATTAACAAGTTTATATTGCTGTGGAGATGGTTGATAAGAGATTTTTTTTTCCCAATGATTGGAAACAGGCAAAAATCAACCTTTAAAAATCTGCACTTACTTATGGCAAATAGTGATAGCAGAATTGGACATTCTTGTAGGTTTAGATTTTATACTTAGGTTGTGCTTTGGGTATTATGCTTTTTTGCTTTATACTGTTATTTTCAAGTCAAATGATTCATAGCTTTAGCACTTAAAATCACCTAAAATTGTAGCTATTAGCAAAAAGGTTGAAGTGTACTAGATAACAAATCACAATACACTTATCCTGTAATGCAACTGAATATAAACCGAGCCATTTCTGCAGAATTGAGAGACTACACAGCTGCCAATGGAGAGTGAAACCCATGGGGTGCACAACAGATCAGAACTTGAGAGAATGCAGAGTTCTTGGAGTTTGTGCAACTGAAGGAGGTTTCAGAGAGATAGGAGGGAGTGAAGCTAAAATACATAGCTGTAGGCTCGGCCAGCGATTTGCAGCTTTCACAGCAAAATTCTGCAGAATCTAATTGCCAAAGCAGTAATATAGAATTCCAGTAGCCCAGGTAACAGAGTGGAGAGCAGCTCCTGCCCCAGCCCAGTGATTCTAACTAAACAGTCAGGGCAGAAATCAAATGCCAAACCGTGACATGCAGTTGGGAATCCCCGTGAAATTAAATAAAGAAGGAATTTAACTTATCCAG